ATCGAGCCGCATCGCCGATGCATCGGCGATGCGGCGCGATCCTCCGAGCCCATCTACTCCGACACCATCGAGGAGGCCTAGATCCTAGATCTGAGAAGCCCCGCCGCCGATCCTCCAGCGGGCAGGCCGAGGCACGCGCCCCGCAGCATGCCCCGCCGATCGGGCGAAGCCAGCGACGCACGCACCCGCCTCGTCCTCGCCCTTCGTCGCTCCTCGGCGTCGACTGGCTGATAATCCCCCCCCTGGGCTCGCCGCCGAGCCGCGTTTTTTTGTTCCCCCCCCCCCCACCCCACCCCACCCCACACAAACACACACACACACACACACACACACACACACACACACCCACACACACACACGCACACCCTCCTCACCCCCCTCCCCCCTCCCCCCCCCCCCTTCCCCTTCCCCCTCCCCCTCCCCCTCCCCCCCCATCCCCCCCCCTCCCCCCCCCCCCCCCCCCCCCTCCCCCCTCCTCCTCCCCCTCCTTTCAGCGAGCCCTTTCAGTGAGGGCTCTGTGCCGCGCCGACGGGCGGCGCGGCGTAGCCCGTCAGTCCGACGGCCTCAGGTGGGCGCCGGACCCGTCCTTACCGACCTCCTCTGCGACGGACGCCCCTCCTTTGCTCGCGAGCTGAGGGGCGCCCGACCTTCTCTTGCCGCGAGGCAGCTCGGCTGAGCTGGCGGTCCCCGTATGTTACACGGGGGCGGGCCGTGCCCCCCTTCGGCCCGAAGGCTGGGGACGGCCTCGCCGCGGCGCACGGTGCGCCGCATCCTTCTCTTGGCGAGTCCTCTTCTCTGAAGGCGTACGTGCTGGACACCGCTTCTGAGGACCCTGCTCCTGTCCTCCTTTTGGGCGACCTCCATAGGTTCACGTCCTTCAAAAGCTGTTGAAGACCCTGCCCCTGTCCTCCTTTCAGCTGTAGTCGAGGTGGGTTCAGCACGCCGCGCTGCTGAGGACCCTGCTCCTGTCCTCCTTTTCAGCGGGCTGGTCACGTCGAGGTGATGGTCGTGGTTGGTGGGGTGGAGGTGCTAGGGTGGTTTGGTTTTGGGCTGCCACGCAGCTGAGGACCCTGCTCCTGTCCTCCTTACTGCGGGCATTCCTGCTAGAGGTCGATTCTGAGGACCCTGCTCCTGTCCTCCTTTTCGACGTCTTCCAGGCATGCTCGCCGAGCCTCGCTGTTGAGGACCCTGCTCCTGTCCTCTTTTCAGCAGGCTCCGTCTTGGTTGCGTCATGCCGCGCTGCTGGGGACCCTGCTCCTGCTCCCCTCTCGGCGGGCAGGTTGTGTCGAGGTGGTGGTAGTTGTTGGCGGGGTGATGGTGGCGGGGTGGGTGGTCGGTCGGTGGTGAGTCCCATGCGTTGTGGTTGGTCGTCTTGCGTACCTATGGGTAAGTCGTGGGGAGGTCGGGTTGTTGCTGGGGTTGTGGTTTGGGTTATGGGCGCACTTGTGAGGCCTCCATGCACCGACTTCAAGTGGGGTTCGTAGCGGCCCCACCTCGTCCCGCCAAGGCTAGGGGTCACGGTGCCCTCGGTGGGGGGGCGAACCCCAGGCCTGGTGCTTGCTGCTGTTGTCGGTGAGGGATGTCTCGGCTGCCCTCAGCTTCGCCCCTTGGGCGATCGGGTAGGCACCACCTTCGCCATGGGGGTGGTGGGGGTGGCGAGCTAGGGCGGGCCGCGGGGGCGCGGGTAGTGGCCGCCCTACCCACCCCCCACCCCCCCCCCCTCCCCCCCCCTTCCCACCCCCCTGCCCCTCACCACCACCCCTGGCAGGCGCGGGCAGCACTCGTCCTGCCCCCCCCCCCCCCCCCCCTTCGAGCCCGTCTCGAAGTTTTGATCCTTGCCTCTCCAGGGCAGCGTTGGCTTGCGGGGTGGTGTGGCCTGCCGCCCTTTGGGTCGCGGGCGGTGGTTGGTCGGCGGTGGTTGGCGAGAGTGGAGGTCGCATGTCGTGTGGCTTACTGGTAGCCGCTGAACTCGTGCTCGCGAAGCCGCTGTCTTCGTCAATACTACACAACGTGGCGACTTGTGCCTGGGGTGTTCCCACGCATTCGGGGCTTCTCCAGGACTTGCGCCCTGGCGCCTCATGCAAAACTTGACGACGCTGCCTGAGGTGTTCCCACGCACTCGGGGCTTCCTCAGGACTTGCGCCCTGGCGCCTTTGTGCTTGTCGTCGAAGACACCCGTCGCGGCGATCGTCCTCGGCATGAGGCGGCACTTCGTCTTCTCGTTCGATGTAGTACGCGTCGTTGGTGTTCAGGTTCTGGCTGGCGGGCGCAACGGTTGCGGTTCTGAGACCCCATCTAGCCACTATGCTGCCGTCGAGCAGGTCGGCGATGGCGAAGTCGATCTCCTCTGCGTTTGCCGTGGCCATGATGTTGCGGAGGTCGTCGCGGGCGCCGTTGTCGAGGATCTGCGTGGCGCCGAGGTCGTAGTGATTTGTCTGGGTCTCGTAGACAGTCATATGGTTGGCGATGCGCTGATATTCGGGAGTCTGCCTGCAGACCGACTCCGCCGAAATGGCTGCGACAAATGGGACATTGGTTGTGGTCGCCGCGAAGAGCATCCGCAGGACCTCTCTTGTGGCGTTGCTGGCGGCGAATATCTCGTCGGCGATGGTCTCGGAGACTCGAGGCGTCCCCCAGGGCGCCTCGGGGGCGCGCCGCCTGCTTGCTCTGCTGCCCAGAACGTCGCTTACATCGTGCAGGTACCAGGTCCGCCGTGGGAACTCTACGTATATGGCCGCTATCTCGCCATGTAGGATCCTCCGCTGTACTCGCCGAAGTTCTGGCATTTGTCCTGAAGTCTGGCCGTCGCTGTGGATTGCGATATGGATGTAGTCCAAGCCGTTGATGCTCGTGATCCCGCTGTTGGCCATGATATGCTGGAGGTCGGCGGCCTGTCGAGGGCGGTCGGAGATGAAGACGACCTCTTGGCGCTCGGCTGGTCCTGGAGGCGAGCTCGCGGGTGGGCTGCTTGGCGATGACTCGAGTCTGGCGAGTAATTTAGGTACGACGGGCGACGTCTCGAGGAGCGGCCGCGGCGTAACGTCGCACGGGTGGGGTGGCTTGTCGCTGAAGGTTGGGTGTCGTCCCTGCTTCTTGTTGGCGTTTGTGGCCTCGGCGACGGCGGTGAGGTTCTCTGCTATTTGCTGCTCCGTCAGAGGCTCCATCGTCTGGATGTGCCAGGCGTGCCAGGATTTGCGGCAACGGTGAGCCACCGATAGGTGCTTAATGAGCCTCGGAAGAGAGTGGTGCTCGGTCTGGCAGCATCGGCATGCGGTGCCAGTGGCCCAGAAGCGCGGGTCTTCGTGGTCTGGATGATCCCTGCCCATATGGATTGACATGCCTTGCCTGGTGGCGACTCGGCCGCAGGCGTAGCAGACGTACTTCTGGTTGTTGGTGTCGTCGCGGAGGTCGGACTTTTCAGTTGGGTGGGCTACGGTGATCATCTGGATGTCCTTCTGGAGCTTGGCGCCCTGAGCTTGGTCGCGAATGTGGAGAATGTAGGCCTTCAACGCTGCCTTGACTGCGTTGGTGAATAACTTCGGCTTCTGTCGGGCCCAGTTGATGATGTCGCGGTCGTGCTGGGTTTAGCTGGGCCACCTCTCTCTTGGTAGGTACGCTCGTAGGAAGTCGAAGTCTTTCTTGAGCTGGCGGCTCCAGGTGCCCTTTCATTGGCGCTGGCCGTCGAGGAGCTGGAGCATGATTCAGGAGTCTTGGTAAGTATCGTAGTCGTGCTGTCGACTGGTGAGTGAGGAAGTCGGGTACTCCTGTCTTGGCGATTGCCTCGGCTTCGGAAGTGTGCTGGTCGGGTGAGTTGGTCTTGGGTAACGAGGCTGCAACACGGTATGGGCCCATGTACTTGGCGGATATATGCTTCAGGTCTTTCAGAGTCAGGTCGCTCCAGACGTGGTGGTTGTATGTCAGCGAGGAGGTCGAAAACGAATGGACGTACTTCACCTCGGCTTTCTTCGAGAGGTTCTTGCGGCGGAGGATCTGTTTCTCGAGAGGCCGGGCTGCACCGAGCGTGCGGTTGACCCTTAGGCAGATTTCTGGCCCCATGACCCCGCCCGCCGAGATGATGGTGCCAAGGGCTTTCTGCTGCATTACTAGCTGCACCTTGATAGAAAGTCCGTCCAGTTCGAGGTATGTGATGCCCCCCTTGGCGATCCTCTGTTTCTCCTTCTTGGCCCCCGCGCCGTAGTGCATGAGGATGGCCTTGGTCTTGTCGGGGTGTGGCTTCAGGCCATGCTGGAACGCTGCTGTGCAGAGCCTGGCAGCAGCCAACGTAGTCGTGTTGATCAATTCGCTGGCGTTTGCGGTCGAGTTGTAGTCTGTGAGGTCGTCGACGAAGGACATGTTCCTGAGCACGCTTCCCTCGTGAGGGGTCGGCGAAAAGAGAGGGTCGCTGCAGGCCTCTATCTCATGTCCACCTATCTGCTGGCCGTGGGTCTCTTCCTCTGGGACTGCCTGGTCGATTGCCCTCAGCATGATGGCGAAGTGTATGTTGAAGGCTACGTCCGAGTATGACCTCCCCCTCCTCCTCCTCCTCCTCCTCCTCCTCCTCCTCCTCCTCCTCCTCCTCCTCCTCCTCCTCCTCCTCCTCCTCCTCCTCGCATGGCCACAACTCTTCCCACATCAGAGCAACCCCTCTGGCCACCCGTCAAACACGAAGGAATTCAAGCAGTCGCCACTACCGTTTGGACATGCTGCCACCGCAGCCACCATAGAGCGGGGACATCGAGAGGTCGCAGACTCGGAGTGGGGCCGCCTCCAGCGCCGCCGGCCCACGTACCCCGATACCGCTGCCCCTCGGACCTCTCCCTGGGTGCAGTCTGACCAGGATTTCGATGCGAATCCAGCAGCGGCGGCAAAGAGGGCCTCTCGAGCGAATGCAGCGGCGGCGGCGACGAGGGCATCCCAGGAACCCCCAAAGGGGAAAGCTGTTCCTCCTCTGATCGCCGCCCCTCCCCTCCGCCGGCGGGGGGAAAAACGCGGCCCGCGAC